TTTTTAGCAAACTCTCTGTCCTAAGTATTATTTTGTTAACCTTCGGCCCTGAATGAATGATGTCTATTGTATCAATGAGTATTAAGTACACAGTGCATGTGTATTATGGTCGCATTCATGTGCTTCTAAATTTATTATGTAAACTAAGCACCCAATACCATCACTGCAATTCTAATTTTAAGTATTTCTAAATTTAAGGGAACTAAATCAACCACATTTCTCTGAAACAAAAAGGATCAAAACAAACACTAAATTACTAAAATTCATATAACTTAAAAACACTTAAAGATAAATGTACAGCATATGATCAACATCCTAATGCTTCTAAATCATAAAATGAATAAAGTTCAAGAATGTTTTATCAAATTGTTTCAAAAACACAACTTCCATCTAAGTAACACCTACAGAACTATACATGCTTTTCTAGGGCTTAGGGCAACTATACAAATAACAGTTTGGAAACCATAATTCTTGGGACCAGCAGCTGGTATAATAGTTACATAACTGGACTCCCATGTAGTCAAATGCAGTTCGAGTCCCGGACCTGGTGGTTTAAAACTTACACCAAGGGCGTGTGTGTGTGTGTGTGTGTGTGTGTGTGTGTACCCAAAATCTCGAGAGGAGAATGGAGAAGGGATTGCAGCATGACCATACCCTCCTGGGGAAGTGGGGCGTGATTTCTCTTTCTCTGGTGAGTACATGCACCCTATAGCCTTATCATAGCTCTGGCCATTGTATTGCTTTTTCTTTTTCAAAAATCTACACTAGAATTCATTTACCACCATACAGAGTAGTTTCATATCTCTGTCTCATGTCTACAAGGTGGGCTGGAACGTCCTTTTCTTATACATTTGTTTAGCAGTATTCTGAGTTTTTAATATGCATTAACTCAATTGTTATAGCAAATGCCATGAGGTAGGTACTATTACTATCTCCATTTTTACAGACAAGGAACAAGAAAGCACAGAGAGGTTAACAAATTTCCTTAAGGAAGCACAGGTAGTGACAAAGAAATTGAGGCTCAGCCTGAACTCTCAACCACTGGGCTCTGATGCCTTTTGTCATTGTTAGAGTTCCATGCCGACTACACAGTGGCAGGCAACCAGTGCACTTACAAAGCTGTATGTATCAATTGCTGTGAAGTGCTTATTTTAGGGATTTCATCAAAGGACAGAATAAAATATAATTAGGTTCTATTCTTTTTAGAGAGAGAGATTTTTGCTGTAAGGTGTATGTGCTTGCCAGAGAGAGAGAGAAACAGAGAAACAGAAAGAGAACCCCCCCTCCCAGGGAGGATGGCCATGTTGTAATGCTTTCTCCTCCATTCTCCTGTTGGAATTTTGGGCAAGCACAAACACGTGCCCAGCGTGAGTTTTAAGCTGCTGGGTCTGGGACTCAACCCATGGTCTAATGCATGGAAGTCCAGTGACATAACCATTATGCCATCTGCTGGTCCCAGTTCTATGTAAAAAAAAAAAAAAAAAAAAAAAAATGGAAGAGAGTGAGGAGAAGGGGAGAGAGAGAGACAGGGTCTTGCCGTTGTCATCCTTGGCCCCACTCTCCCACATGTCCAGCTACAGCTGGCCTGTTTAGGTTGGTCTGGGATCTGAGTCTGGCCTCACATGGCGTCCCAGCCTCCCACAGCAGCACTCTCCCATTTGTGCCACCAGAACTGGGCACTTCGATTCTTTTTAATGTCCCTGGTCTCAGGGTTATATCTGCGTTGCCTTCTGCCCTTAACTGGCTTTGGTACATCCAGTCTGAAGGCCCAAACATATGTTACACAATGAGGAACACTGAATTGCTGGGTCCTGAACTCTCTCCAAACTCTGGCTCCCTTTTACTTTCATCAAACTTTTTCATGCATTGCTTCCTTCAACTGCTGATACACCTCGCTTCACAAGTTGGCTCCTTGTTTATGCAGACCACTGAGTCACTCTAAGCATCTTCAGGACTCCCAGGCATGACTTATCTGAGAGAAGCCTGGGAAAATTGGGGTGTTTCATCTGTTTTCACACAAGACCCAGAGAAATACATTAACTCTCATTTATTGCTCATCTACAGCATCTTCAATTCTCTAACTCACTTAAAACTAGCATAAGTGATCAGGAATGATTTTTGTGTTCACATGTTTTTCTTCAATTCATAATTGCAACAATTGAAAATAAAGTATATTTATGTGGCATGTCTCAAGTTCTCCCCCAAAAGAAACTGGTATGTGGAACGTAACTGACCATATGCATATTTTAGAGATATTTCAACATCTGGCCCTACTTTGCAAAGGCTTAGTTTTGCAAGTAACACCAGAAAGAATTCATTTGAAAATGTAAAGCCATGGACATCTACAAAAGAACCACATCAGTGAGATTGTTAAAATTTTTGCTTACATAAACATTAGCAATGTGACAAATTGCTAATTTCCTATGAAGGATCATAAATTCCAACTGAGAACCATAGGTTGGGGGTAGGATAGAAATAGGAACATTCTCTAACCTCCAAGGTTCCTCCTGCTACTTATATTTTGATTTAAAAATACTAACGTCACCTATTGGCTAAGAAGTTATTACTGGTCTCTACGACCTTGCTGTCAGCAAAAGACTCCATCTCAATATCTCTTTCATAGAGATGATAGGTCCCTCTGTACACGATTATAGGAAGAAGCCCCAAAGGAAGTTAGAAATATCTAAGTGAAATCTACAGCATAAAAAGACTCAGTTTGTGTGATCAGAGAAACAATGGTTATCATAAAATAATCAGAGCTTCCAGGAAGGTAGTGACTCTGTCTGGGTTCAGCATAGCACAGGTTTCTCCAACTGACCTTGAACCCTAATCTCAAAGACATAATCCTGAATCTGCAACACACCCACTTCCTAGGTTGTCTTTATCCTTTGGGCTTAAAATTCAGATCGATTACAAATTCCTGACTAGCGTTGAATGAAACATACTCCTCTCATGTATTTACAACAGCCACACACAATCAGATATTATTTGTCTTTTGATGAAAGAAAACAGTATCACATAAGCAAAGACATAAGAAGTTGTACCCCCCCAAAAAAGTGAATTTTATCGAGCTGCTGGATGTAACTACTAATAGAGGACAATACTGAGGACAAAGGAATATATCAAACTATGTCACTAGTATGTAAATAAAATCCAGAATGTGGAAAATGTGATGAAATGAACAAAACACACATAAAATATCACCAGTACATAAAATTTTAACCAAGAGAAAAATAAACACAGAAGGAGAACCTACAAATTAAAACTGACATAGAAGCTATATAAACCATCACAATCTGTAGACCTTATTTGAATCCCTGTTCCAACTGAAACATTCATAAGGCAATTTGAAATTTGAACCTCAGATAGATATTGGATAATTGAATAAGACTTTTTAATCTTATTCAATCCTTACTAAGCTTTAAAAGTGTAAAAATGATATTATGATTATGCTTTTAAAATAATTATTCTCTTTCAGAGATCTATACTAAAATATTAACAGAAAAAAGTGATACAGCTGGGATTTGCTTCAAAATAATGTCAGTTAGGGGCAAGGAATGAGAATACAGAATGGGGGAAAATTATTCATACCACTGCTGGGGGTAGGGGGGCTGGAATGATGGGCTCATTACCCTATCCTATATTCTCCATGCATGTCAAAGTTCTCCATAAGAGAAAGCTCTAAACAAAACAAAACCAAAGAACATAGGTATTTTTCCCTTTATATTCCATACCCAGTGTGTAACCAGTGCAATATTTTAAGAAAAGAAAATTATCAAGATTAACTTTCTAAAACTGTCATATAGGCACTAGCTTCCCTCAGTATTTACAAAAGTAGCCTATTTTTCCTAGGGAAAGAGGGATTTATAAAAGGTAAAACTTTGTTTATGTTATTTTACAGATTTTCATACTCACTTATTTAATTCTTCAGACTATCACCTATACTCACTGGGGCTACTAACTTGAATGGAAAGTAACTCTATACAATAAAACTGTATTCACGTAGTTAAGTTCAATTAAGTTCATCATTATTTTAACAGTAGAAAAATTTACCAACATAATGATACCAACCTAGTACAAAACAACAACAACAACAACAACAACAACAAAGAGTTCTTTCTTCCATGTAATACAAAAGCTATCTTTTAATTCAGCATACAAACGTATTTTTCCTTTCATTTACATAAATGCTTTGGGCCATTTCCACTGACTGACTTTTGAACAATATTTCATTGTATGATATACACTGAAAGAATGAAGATTCATTTCCCAACAGCCCAGCCTGTCCTTTTCATACCTTGGTTTTTGTTTTTCCCATGCCAGATGCCCCTCATCAATTTACCAGCTATATCTAAGGTTGATAAACTTTCAACAGAAACATAACCACTTACTAAAATACAAACCACATTGATTGAAAAAAGGGATAATAAAGCTTCAAAATAATGCCTTCGAAATGTCAATACATATACACTGTTTTATTCTTATGATAAATAATTTTGTTTCCCCCTCAAGTTTTTCATAACTCATTGCTTTTTGGGGGAAGGGTGTCCTGAAAAGGAGCTTTTTTGTGTGCCTTGATCTTCCCACACTCAGCTATCCACCTGTCTCTAACCCAGATGAAAAGGATGGGAATCAGGAGCTGGACTCTGGATTGAGTCAGACTGTTCTCCCCACAGGGGAGGCCCACTTGATATACAACTAAGAATATTTGTCCTTTAATTAAGGGGTATTCTGTCCTCTGTGATTGTTTTTGCAACAATATCAAAACATTTATGAAATGTTTATTCTCACAGATCCTGAAGTGTACTTTTTTGAGTCATTGGCTCATTTTCAATTACTGAAATAACCAAAGAAAGAACAAACAAATCTAAACAAGTAAATGGAAAATACATTTTCCTCCTCCCTCTATTTTTCTAGTGCAGAATCTGTTCTCATTTATGCTATTCATCTCAAGATCCCCTCTCTTGCATAAAATTGATAATTAGAAGAAAAACACTTACCCAGAACAAGAAGTTGAAGATAAACATAGAATATTTTATACAGCCACTCACACCTGCCATTTCGAAAAAGGCTCAGGAATCCAGATGCCGTGAATTTAGTTATTTGTTATAGGATTGTCCTGCAATATGCTCTGGAGCAATTTGCCTGCAGAGATTTCTGTGCCTACAGCTTCAGAGCAGAAATAGAAAGCAAAGAAGTAGATGGAGGAGAGAGAAAAAAAAAAATAGAAACAGTTATTAAAGTGGATAAAAAATTAACCCACACATTTAAATATCACGAAGGCTATCTCCAGGCAAGTATGTGCTTTTGCTTGTCATGGCTCCTGGGGCACCAGGCCAGGATATTTATGATCCTTTCTCAAAAACTGCCTCCTCTAAAGTAAACAGATATCAAGTTAAGGGAGTGGCATTGGATCAGGGAGAGAATGGCACAGCGATACTAGGTTGTTGAATTTCAGAAACCACAGCCTGGCTTCCCTGCCCTCTAGCTCAACCATAAGGAAATAAGCTTGCTTTGCTCTGAAGTAAAAGAGACGTTGTGTCTACGCTCATTTTGCCTCCTGTTTTCTAGAAAATACAATTTTTCTTCCAAATGCAATAAAATGCATTTCGACATCTTCAAAATCTCAAGGCATAGACTCAGCGACCTTTTATCATTAACTGCGGAATAGGAAAACAAGCATTACGTGCATTTGCCTTCCAGAGCTTTCTAATTTATTTCAAAACAATTCGAGGAGCTGCCTTAAGTGCACCTTAGTTACAGGAAGTGGAGAGGGAGAGGCAGCCTTGCCTATCATGATAAGACCATTCAGTTTTTAATCTTTATTTCTTTATGATGTGAAAGGAAAAAAAAAAAAAAAAAAAAAATCTCAGGAATCTTTCTCTGACTGCCCCTTTTGTGCTTAGTTTATGATGTGTAGCCATTTCGATAGTTTGCTTTGTTTTTCAGGCAGACACTGTATTTTCCTTCCTGTGATAAATTGTGTCTAGCCACAGCCCCTCTCCACCAACTCAGTTTCTGGATTCTGGATCCTCTTGGAAAAAAATGTGCAATGGGAAAGTGGTCACGGATCAGTGACCATAGATTGTACAATTTGTTTCTAGTGCTAATAGAAGGCAGCTGTCTCAGGTAAAGGCAGAATTCTACGAACTAATCAGGGAGGTGCGGACTGCTTTGTGTAAACAACCTGGGTCATGCTCGTTTCCACATCCTGCCTCTTCAAGGGAGTTCTTTGCTCCCTAAATAAAATAACCCTCTACAGTCACGCATCGCTTGATGACAGGGATACATTCTGAGAAGTGTGTCCTTATGCGATTTTGTAGTTGTGTGGTTTGTGACCATCATAGAGTGTAGTTACACAAACCTAAAGGTACAACCTACTACACACCTAGGCTGGATGGTATAGCCTATTGCTCCTAGGCTACAACCCTGTACTCATGTTACCGTACTGAATATTGTAGGCAATTGCGATACAACAATATCTATTTGTATATCTAAACGTATCTATTGTAACATAGAAAAGGTATGGTAAGAACGTGTTACAAAAGATTTTTTTTTTATAGAGGTACACCAGTGGACAGCAGGTCAAGATGTGAGCTCCCACATGGCTGACAGTGGTTTAAGTCCTGGACCTGGAAGCTTGAAAAATTACTCCAGGCACATGTGCATGCACGACCAAAATCCCAGGAGGAGAATGGAAAAGGTGGGATTTCAGCTTGGCCATATCCCTTGGGGAGGTGACTTCTTTCCTTCTCACTGTCTGTTGGTTTGTCTCTCTCTGGTAAGCACATGTGCCCTATGGCAAAAACCTTTAAAAAATTCAAAAAAATAAAAATAAAAAGGTACACTCAGATCGGGCACGTAGCATGAATGGCACTTGTAGGACGAAGTTACTCTGGGTGAATCAGTAAGTGGTGAGTGACTATGAAGGCCTAAGATAGTACCGTACACGACTGTAGACTTTATAAATACTTTACACAGGACACTACATTTATCAACATTTTTTTCTTTCTCTAATAAATTAACTTTAGCTTACCGTAATTTTTTTACTTTATAACTTTGAAATGTTATAACTTTTTGACTCTGGTAATGACACTCAGGCACATCATATAGCTATACAAAACATTTTTTGTCTTTATATCCTTGTTCTGTAAGCTTTTTTCTATTTTAAAAAATTTTAATTTTTTTAAAGTTTATTTCTTTCATGAGAGGAGGGCACCCTCAAGAGGGTCTCATTATGCCATGATCCCATCTCCAGACTTCTAGCTGGGTGCGCACAAGCATGTGTGCAGCTAGCATAGTTCAGGTCAACCTGGAAACCATGCCCCAGTCTTCATGCAGCTCCACCATTGCAGGGCCTATGCTACCACCTATGCCACTGCAGCAGTCATCATATTTTACTTTATAAACTTCTTTGTTAAAAACTGACATAAACATATACATTGGCCTAAGCCTACCCAGAGTCAGGATTATCAATATCACTGTCTTCTGCCTCCTCCAAATGTTCAGGCACAATAATATGCAAGGAACTGTCATCTCCTATAACAACAATACCATCTTCGGAAATACCTCCCAAAGTACCAGTCTGAGACTCTTCTTGAGAAGATGTTTCACTGACTCACCCAAAGTAGCTTCTAGTCTTGCAAGTCGCATTCACAATAGGTACCTTATATGGGTATACCATTTTTTTAATTTTTTATAACATATTTTGCCTTACCTTGCCTATATTTAGATACACAAATATGTATCATTATGTTGCAATTTACTCAATAGTATGTGCAATGACAAGTGTACATGTTCGTAGCCTAGGAGCAATAGGCTATTCCAACTAGCCTAGGCGTATAGTACTTTGTGTAAGCATACACATTCTTCAGAAATATGTTCATAGAACTTTGCATGATTTATTTCACTTTTATCATGGATTATCTTCTAAGCAGAGAATTCATCATAAACATTCTTTTCTATTAAGGAAAATCTTTCAGTGTTGGGAGTCATGTTTTCAAACTTTTTAACGAGTTTGTTGAGGTCTACAAAACCTTCTCACTAGACAATTTATTGTGAATTTTCTTAGGTGTATTGCTTTTCCTCCACCTGTAATTCTTTTTCCCTTGTTTCTTTTTCAGCTTTGTGTTCCTCTTCTAGTTCCAGCAACTCCTCATGAGTCAGTACTTCAGGAACCACCTGAGGGAGCTCTTCAATGAAATCTTCATCCACATCCAGGTTAAAGCTGTTTGTTCTCTTAACCAGACCTTGTAGATTTGTCCAACCTCTTTGTCCTTGGCAAGTCCTTTGATGTTATGGGTGAACCTTCTGAATATCTCCTTCCATGTGCCATTATATACTTTTTGGTAACATTAACTGAAACCCAAGCAAGGTTCTTAACGATGTGGTTTTTCCAGAATTGTATCAGTCTCTTCTCAGTTTCTTTCTTGGTTGCAGCAATAGCCTTGGAAAAGGTCCTCCTTGGGTAGTACACCTTAAAAATTGCTACAACTCCTTGATTTATTGGTTGGGTTAAAGAAGGTTTTAGAGAGATAACTACTACTTTGATATTAGGATGAATATCACCAATAAAAGGAGGATGTGTAAAAGCATTATCAACATTAGATAGGCAAAGACTTCTTAAATAAGACCACAAAAGAACAGGCAATAATCCCCAAAATAGTTAAGTGGAATTGCACCAGGTTAAAAAGATTCAACACAGCAAAAGAAACAATAATCAGAGTGAAGAAACAACTTTAAGAATAGAAGAATATATTTACAAACTATGCCTCAGATAAGGGACTCATATATAGGGACAGTATATATAGGGAACTCAAACAGTTTACCTGAAAAAAAGAAATAATCAATCCAATGAAAAGATGGGCAAATGAGCTGATCAGACAACTCTCCAAGGAAGTGATGGAAATATCCAAAAAGCATATGATAAAATGCTGAACATCTCTTGTCATAAGGGAGATGCAAATCAAAACCACCTTGAGATACCATTTAACCCCAATCAGAATGGCTAAGATTTAAAGAATAAATAATTATAAGTTCTGGTGAAGCTGCAGTGAAAAGAGAACTCTCCAACAATAAACAAACTCTTAAAGAGTATGTTATTCTCCAGATAGTACATCTCCATTTTACTAGACAACCATCTTGGAAGAAGAGGTGGGTCTTCGTGACTTCTTACTGCTTCTGTAGTACATTGATAATGTGTTCTTACTTGCTTGAAGGTCCTGGATCTCACTGTGCCATGTTACAAAGAGTTTCTATATGTAGTCTGCCACATTTCTCCCAACCAAGATTAATTCTGTCCTTAAAAACCTTAAAATATGGCACTGACTTGGCCTCCTTATGGATGAAAATTTTTCCAGGTATCTATTTGCCAAATGGAAAGGTTTTGTCCATATAGGTTTGCTCTGGCAAATAATGTTCCTCCAAAATCAGCTTATCTAGAGTTTCCAAAAATTCTTAAGCTGTGCTTCATAGACCTATAACCCACTTTCCCATTATGTAATAAATAATGATTGTGGAACTGTTTAAACCACCCAGAAATAGCAGCATATCAAAGTCATAACGGAGTCATTTTTTCTTTCCGTTCACAAGTGATACACTGCTATGTCCAGTCTTCAATTCAGATCATTAGAAGTTTGTCCATATATGTTTCTCTATGCTTCTGGGGGGGGGGAGGGTCAGGTCCTTAGCTTGGCAACCCTAAAAGCTCAAATTTGTCTGCCTTTCCTAGAGTGATCTACTTCTTAGGAAATATTCTCTTAAAAGCTCCCACAGAAACCAGAATGTTAATTTCTTAGTTTATAATGAAATTAAACTATCCAGTATAAGATAGTAGCTAATCAAAAAATACCATAAAAAATGGCACAGACAATATACAAATAGTGTTCCCAGGGATAATTCAATAAAGGATACAATAGATGTGTTGCTAAGATTAATAAACTGATGAATCTAGAGCCATTCCAGGAATGCAAGGAAAACCTCCAGACAATAATCTCGGTGGCTGTAAAAAAATAGCTCTATGCGATTCATTTTCAAAAATAGCTTAACAAAAGTTGCTTAACCAAATTATAACTGTGACAACCACAGAAAGTACACATCCCAAAAAGTTTCTGAATAAAATCAACCCCGAAACAAGTCACCCTTAAGAAATGACTTCTCAAGATGGTAGCTGGTCACCTGCCCTTGTGCTTTTGTTTTTTTTGTTTTTTTTTTTACTTCTCAATTCTTCTCTCTCCTCAGGACATTTGATAGACCTTTTTTGCAACCTGGCCCTGAGCCTACACCTTAATACCTAGAAAGGGAATAATAAAACCTAGGCGATTTCTGGGAAGATTGTACACCCCATAATACTCAGCCAATGAGGAACTGGGGGAGGGACTTGTACACTAGGAAATAAATTGCTAGTTGTGACTGGTTTGGGTATGTCCACCTGTCAGACACCTAATCTTGCAAGACTG